ATGTGAGAAATAATAAAAAGGTGTCTTGTCGAGAGTATAGTTGTTACAGGCTACAAATAAGAAATCCACGACAATCCACATTGTTGTTTGCAGGACGTCTACTCCAACAATACGTTGTCGACATGTACATAAATTAGAGACAACAAGGTTAGATTACTGTAGACTTAATCAGTCTAATTTGAGATCTGAGTTATACCAAGGAATCATGAAAAGTGTACAACAAGGAGAGACAAGAGGCAGCGAGGTTGGAAAAATAATTATTCTACCACCATCTTTTATCGGAGGTCCGAGAGATATGCGTCGTAGATATCTTGATGCATTGGCGTTAGTCCAAAGGTTTGGAAAACCTGATTTTTTTTGGTCAAAAGGCTCAGGATCGACCTGATTTAACCTCAAGAGTCTTTCGAGCAAAATTGCAAGATTTAAAAGATCAGTTGTTTAAAAAGGAGATACTTGGAAAAGTGGCTGCACATGTGCACGTGATTGAATTCCAAAAAAGAGGACTTCCACATGCTCATATGTTGATTATACTGAAGTCGGAGTATTAAATCACACAGGGCCGGTCCTAACATTTACGGGGCCCTAAGCGAGCTTTTGAAAAATGACACCTTATTAATGGAGGATAAAAATGCATAAACCTACACCATATATATATATATATATATATATATATATATATATATATATATATATATATATATATATATATATATATATATATATTTTTTATTTTTTTTATTTTTTTTTCTGTGCGCCACAAGATACTACAACAAATGCGAATTATTTGTTTCTCTTTTTGCCAATTTAAATTTTATGCGTAGTGGTTTTTGTTTTCCATCCCCGGTGACCATAATGGATGAACAAAAAGCCAGGATGAAAAACATTTTTAATTTGACAGAATAATTGTGTAAGTAATCTGAGCCTTAATTGAAAATAGATATAAGGACCTAATTAAACTGAAAGAAAAGGCTTGTATATGGATAGCTCAACTTATTCATTCATGATGTATAAAAAACCAATTTTAAATTGCTAAAAGGTAAGGATATATATATATATATATATATATATATTTTTTTTTTCTTTTTTTGGGGGCCCCTTTGAGAGTGGGGCCCAAAGCCATTGCTTGTGCCGCATGGCCTCACGGCCGGCCCTGAAATCACAACTCTAGATACCTATGATAGGTTCGTGAGTACGGAACTTCCAGATCCAGAAAAACATCATGTACTTTATGCTTTGGTTGTGATACATATGATGCATGGACCATGTGGAGCAAAGAACAAGAGTAATTCTTGTATGGTTGATGAAAAATGCAAATATCATTATCCACGACCATATTGTGAAAGCACGATTCAAGGGAAAGATGGATATCCGATATATAGAAGGAGAATAAATAGAATTACTGTCCAAGTTCGCAGAGCTCATCTAAATAACCAGTGGGTAGTACCATATAACCCATATCTTTTGTCCAGATATAATTGTCATATAAATGTTTAGATATATTCTGGAGTGACAGCAGTTAAGTATCTATACAAGTATATCTACAAAGGGCATGACAGAGTGGCTGTTAATATCTCACAGAATGATGAAGAAAATAATATTGATGAGATCAATGAATATCAAGATGCTCCATGGGTCTCGTCTCAAGAAGCCATTTGGAGAATTTACGAATTCAATTTGAATGAAATAGCTCCACCAGTCATTGACCTCCATCTTCATCTACCTAACCAACAATGTGTCACTTACTGGGCAAATCAAAATTTGAGCAACGTCCTCAAATGGGACCATGTGTCTAAGACAATGCTCACCGAGTATTTTCCAATGTGTTCGAGAAGTGAAAAAGCGCGAAAATACCTTTACAAGGAGTTCCCAGAATATTACGTATGGGACAAGCAAGGTAGATGTTGGTCTGAAAGAAAGAAAATGGATGTGATAGGGCGTTTACATGGTGCAAATCCTATTGAAGAAGAACGGTATTATCTTCGATTACTATTGAATCATGTAAGAGGTCCAACATCTTTTCTAGATCTTTTAACAGTTAATGGAATACGATGTGTTAACTTCAAAGAAGCATCACAAAAAAGAGACTTACTAGAGTCTGATCAAAGTGTTATTGAATGTTTAAATGAAGCCATCACTTTTCAAATGCCTCATGAACTGCGTCGATTATTTGCAACCGTCTTGGTATATTGTGCTCCAACAGATGTGAGAGTTCTTTGGGACACATATTTTGAAGCAATGTCAGAGGACTTTAGAAAAGAAAATGATACATCAAAGGAGAGATAATTACGAGAACTCTCCAAAGTGTGAATTATTTTTTGAAGAGCATGGGGAAAAAAATGGAATCATATGATCTTCCAAGTGCTCCAATTGATACTAACCACGTGACTACAAATCTGTCAAGAGAGATAGAAGATGAGCTATCAATAGAAATACCTTCTGAAAGTTACGACGCCGAGAAAAAAACTGAATAAAGAACAACAATATGCCTTCAAAGTAATCTTAGAATTCATACACAAAGGTAAAGCCGGTATGTTCTTCATTGATGGCCCAGGGGGAACTGGAAAAACATTCGTATATCGTGCGTTGTTAGCTCATTTAAGATCTAGAAAAAAATAGTCATTGCAACAGCGACATCTGGAGTTGCCGCTGCAATAATGCCTGGCGGAAGAACAGCTCATTCACGTTTCAAAATACCAATCGATGCAAATGAATCCAGTGACTGCAATATATCAAAGCAAAGTGGAGTGGCTAATCTATTGCGTACAGCAAAATTAATTATATGGGATGAAGCTCCAATGGCAAAATGATGGGCTATTGAGAATGTTGATAAGTTATTCAAGGGAATAATGGGAAATGATGAACATTTCGGGGGTAAAGTGGTGGTCTTTGGTGGTGATTTTAGGCAAGTACTACCTGTGGTTCCAAGGGGTACGTACAATTCACCAAACTATTTCTGCCAGTTTGGTGAAATCAAGGCTATGGCATAAAATGATAAAATTTTCTTTGTCTAAGAATATGAGAGCGCAAAAAGATCCTGAATTCGGTGATTTCTTACATAGAGTTGGAATGGAGAGGAAACCTCCAATATTGAGAGTAACATTAGAATTCCTGAAGAGATGGTGGTGAAGTATAACAATGAAGAGGACTCCATGGCACGTCTTATTGATTCAATTTTCCCGAGCTTGAGTAGTAATGCTGAATCATCTACTTACATGACAACTCGAGCGATATTAGCATCTAAAAATGAGGAAGTTGATAAATTGAATGATAAGTTAATTTCTATGTTTTCGGGAGAAGTAAGAACATTTCAAAGTTTCGATGAAGCTATCGATGATACAAATAATAACTATGAAGAAGATTTTCTCAATTCTTTGACTCCAAATGGCTTGCCTCCGCATAAGTTGGTCTTGAAGAGAAATTGTCCAATAATCCTCCTAAGGAATTTGGACCCATCAAATGAACTGTGCAATGGTACAAGAATGGTGTGTAGGAATTTCAAATCCAATGTCATTGATGCGGAAATAGTATTTGGCCAACACGCCGGAAAACATGCTTTCATTCCTAGAATACCACTTTCGCTAGCTGAAAATGAGGGTTATCCTTTCAAATTCAAGCGTAAGCAATTTCCGATTAGACTTTGCTTCGCTATGACAATCAACAAAACACAGGGCCAAACAATTCCTAATATAGGAGTCTATTTGCCTCAACCAGTGTTCTCTCATGGCCAACTATATGTAGCTCTATCAAGAGGAACTTCATCATCGACAACAAAAGTTCTAATCAAGCCTGATACCAACAATATTCGAGAAAAAAGGGCAACAAAAAATGTTGTTTACAAAGAAGTTCTAAATGCAGGTAAAATAATTTTTCCATACATATATAATGTGTGTGTGTATATATAATGTATGAATATTATGAGATAGTAAATAGTGGTATTATGTTTATTAGGAGGCTCGTCAAAGAGGCTACAAAATGAAGAAAATGAGGTTATTTAAAATCTTCCATCTTTTTTCTTCCAATAGCCTCTACAATGTTTAATTCCCCATGAAGATACTTTATCCTGTTTCAAGTGTATATTTAATAACTATTAATCCAATTTATCATTCCTTATTCTTTTTTTTTCTGTTTGTCTGTAGATCTCGAATACAAATTCGATGAAACCTTCTATGTGACTGAAATTGGGTGGATGAATAGTGCATCTTTCAAAAGGTTAATATATAAAAGTAATCTTTTCATTTTTTTTACAATTACATCACTTATAATTCTAATTGCATTATTTATTTTGATTCTCCGATAGCTGCCTCAGATCATAATATGGAATTGGTTCACCGACAGAGGGAACAGGATCATGATTTTTTTATAATCTATTAGTACAATATTAGAATTAACTAAATGACCTTATTCGAAAAAAAATTATTTATGACACACTTTTCAAATTCAAAGTAAAATTTATATTTTAGTATGTTATTTTCAATTTGTATTAGTACAAAGTTCGTATTCTAGTGTACCAGTATTAATGCCTCGATGTGTTCATTTATTGGAATATAAAATTTAAATATAATTTTTGGCTTCAATCTGCTGGTTATTCGACATGGAGTGCTAAAATTGAAGATTATGTTCACCCGACATTTATTTTCAACGACATTATTTTGCATGAGATGATCCTGACTCATTAATCTATATAGTGGTTTCCTGGGGGAATTTCAGACTACATACTTGTTTATATTATACATTTCAAAGTTTGTACGCACTTTGGATTGGGATAAATTTATTTTGGATTCGAGTATAGCCATTTGGACTTCAAACGACCGTTCTCCGAATAGGGAAAAGTTCAACGTATTCACGTGAAATCTGGTAATAGGTGATTTCATTTTTCACTCCGGTTTTTGTATATATCACTTGAATTGTAGTTGTCGGATTATGTTTACTTTTATTTTCTTAAAATTGAGGATAGTTCTTTAGTTTCTTCTATGTTACACTTGATTAATCTTAAATATCTATAGCTATTAACAAACAACAATATTATACAATTTATGCCAAATTTGTAATTACGAGGAGTCAATATTATACATAAAATCCCCTTCTATATCTTGTTTGTGTAAAAAATTTGCATCTGTCTCACACCGATCAGCAAATCTATACAAACATAATAATACAATACATAACCAGAAATCTCCCCAAATTCTTGCACCATTCTGCCACAACATTGTGTTTTTTCATTGTTCGTCAATTTCAATGGTGGTATTGGTGAAGTTTCAATAAAGGGTGACATTGAATAAATAAAATTTTATTTTTTTAATATTCTTGATTGATTTAATGTTAACAGTCATGTATTCTGTAATATTCTTCATTTATTTAGTGTTAACAGTCATGTTTTAATTTTTGAATAAAAAATAATTTAATTCCGTAATATTCATTTGAAGAAAATAGGTTATGTAACCCTTATACGTTTGCAGCCTTGATTTATAGGCTATGTAACCCTTAACCCTCTTTTTCTACTTTTTTTTTTGGCCAAACATTTTTTATTCCATTAAATACTAATGAAAGTATAAAGGGGTCTGGTTAAAAATATTGTGGGCCTAACACAAGGAAAATAGTACCCTTAAGAGATCAAGAATAAAAACGGACAAAAAAAAACCCTATTACAATCTATTACACAAAAGCCCCCAAAAGTGGATAAGAAAATAAATAACTAAAAGAATATGCCTATGCTGATTATTGTAACTAAAATATAAAAAAGGCCCCATATGGGGTTGGAAATGCCAATATCTAAAATATCTAGCTCACCACCAACTTAAATTATTCAACTTTTGCCCTCTTCTCCTACGTTGAGATTGATCCATAGTCATCTTGAGTTTCTGCGACTGCATTTCAAACCTTATGGTCGAAAGTCCTATATCCCAAGAACATCACATCGATATGCAATCCATACTGACCTAGGAAGGTCGTTTGCCAAAAATAATTATTGAAGGTGTTAGTGATTATGTGCCCATGCCGCAAGCCGATCGGCAACCGATTTTTTTTCTCTGTACACACGTGAACACTTGAAAGTCTGCTGCATAAGATTAACACATTCATTATTTTACATCTTAAGTTTTAAAAAATAATAATAATCTGAATATATATCCACTTTGGTTGGATGGAATAATTGAAAAACAATTCACATAATTTATCAAAAATATCAATTGAAAAGTCAATGCAATATTTGAAACTGTAAAATTGTATATTTTTTTGGTAGAATAAATAGCATAACAATGCAATAATTATTGGATCCTTAGAACTTAAAAGTAACTAATAATTATTGGAAAAACATTGATAATAATATATATTGTATAATAATGAGTGAAAATATATTTTCAGAAATTGATGAATTAAAATAAATTAAAATACTTAAGTTTGTTTAATAACTTAATTCTTAGTGTTTTTAAAATTTTATTTGTGACAAAAACAATTAGATGTTATGTTATCGAATTTGTACCCAATGCAATATAATATTTTTAAATATTAAGATATGACATTTTGTTAATATATATTTTAATAATATAATTTAATTATTCTTTTTAGTTATTCCATCCAATAAAAGATAAATTTTGAAGATATTAAAATTTGATATACAAATTAAATGTTATTTTTTTTTATCAGTAAATTAAATGAAGGTTGAGGGGTAGGTGTTACAAATAATACTTTAAGGAGACAAGTGTTGCATATGGTATAATTTAGGGGTAAAAAATATGGTACAATTTAATATGATATAATTTCTTTTGACCGGCTATCAAAAATAGGGTGATTTTTTTAGTTTTTTAATACTTAAGGGGGGTGAAGGCGACCTTTTTGATACTAATGGGGTGCAAACTGTATTTTACCCATTTTCTGAGGATTGAGGATGTTTTTTTACTTTCTTCTATGCTACACTTGATTAATCTTAATTTTCCATAACGATTAGCAAACAACAACATTATACAATTTATGCCAAATTTGTAATTATGAGGACTATTTTTTTTTTCTTCTCAAGTTATATATGGAGGGATATCCAATGTATTAGTTATACATTACTTACATTTTCATCATACATGTGGGGCAATGAATTTTCAATGACATCTAACGCCCATTTAGAAAAGCAGACTGTTCACAACATTATGAACAAACCTAATTTTCTCTGTTTTAACTAATATTGCTCAACAACTTTACAGAAAATCCCCATCTATATCTTGTTTGTGTAACAAATTTGCATCTGGCTCACACCATTCTTAAGAATGCCAAATAACATGCCGTCAACATATTATATATTTATTACGACACGTGCAACGCACGTGCACTTTTCTGGTTCCAACAAAATAGCAGTAACATAGTAAAAACAGTTAAAAAATATATGAATTATTACAAAAAAGAAATATTATGAGTCGAATGAATAATATCATTATTGGCATAAGTTATTTATTCTTTGTCGCCGATGGATTACATGTTCAACTTGGATTACATGTCCAAGTTGAACGTGTGTCTATCTATCTATATATATATATATATATATATATATATATATATATATATATATATATATATATATATATATATATATTGAGTTGACTTGTCGAATTTTTTTATCATTTAATGTAAAGTTTAAATGTTATAGTTATATAATCCACCATGAATAATTGTGATATGCATCTATGTAATTGCCCCAAATTTGTGTTAGCAATTGATAATAGGCAAAGATTTGTGTCTATTGTTACTAATTGTTTTCTCAACCAATAGTGGGGGCAAAACTGTAAAATGCGTGCTATAGAAACTGTAAAAGATTAGTGCAACTTTCACAAAATTCTTGAATTATTTAAATGATGCACATCGTCTTCAGATCTTCTTACAAATTGTATTAATTAATCAAATTATCCATTATCACATTGCCATTAACATAAATAATACAAATTAGAAAAGCAGAATAATTAACTCGATAATTATTAGAAAATATTAATATACTCTATAACATATGTGAATTAAGTATTAGTCTATTATAAGTTTTTTGCACTTTTAAAAACCAATTATATACGGTGGAAATGGATTTTATTCAATAAGAACATAATGTTTAAATATAAAAATACTACAATAATTAAAGCTTGAAAAACCAATCCTAAACCAGTTCAATATGAGTGAAAATGAGTACCACAAATTGTACATTTAAGCATTTATTTCCTTATATATTTTTTTAATAATGTTTATTTTGTTGTCGTTTTTCAGTTGTTTTGTTATTTATTGGTTCTATGAACATAATATATTACAAAGTATCATACTTTTGAAAACAAATCCATTTTCCATGCGAAAACCAGGAATTGTTGAAAATTGATTGGTTATTTCCATAAAGATAAAATGCCAAATAATACGTGACATAATAATACCTAACTAAGAAAAATGCCGTGGAAGAAAAAAAATAGATGATATGTCTTTTATAATTTTTTTCAACCAATCAAATAACCACATATGATGAAATTAGGGATATGTGGGCAAATAAAATTGCAAAGTATCAAGCACAGTATGATGGAATTCATATTTTGTATATGATATAGATGATATAGATTATATTTCTAGTTTATTTATATTTTTTATAGGCTAATATAATATTATATTCTATAACAATGATAATATTATTAAAGTTGTATTGTAAAAAAATAAAAAGGTAATGAACAACATATAAAACAAGCACCCTTTTAATTTCAACACCTAACTATACTCGTACTACAGTAGTTATGTACATGAATAAGAAATATAATCTCATAACACATTCCTTCTAATACACACAAAAAACTATTAAACTCAACCTAAATTAAGACTATATGTTGGAAAGCCTGGAACATCACAAGATTCATGCCCAAGAATATATATCAAGTGCTTCCCGCCAAGAAATGATTGCCCGTACCCGAGTTCCTCGTGGGACCGTCCACGTCAGTACGAACGAGGAACTTCACTGTGCGAGTCCCAACAAACTCCAATACTTCAAGACACTCTCGCAAATCCGAATCATTCACCATCATCACCCATTCCTCTTCGTCGTCCAAATAATTGAGCTTAAATTGCCCCGTCTCAATTTTGAACCTCTTTGCCACTTCTTCGTACAATTCACAACACCCTGACGAAGACGAAGGTTCGAATTTAAACCGAACCATGTCTCCACCATACGTAGCTTTCACCGTAATTTTAGCCCCACTGTCTCCTTCATAGCTTGCTTCGGTTTTCAAAGGTGATTTCTCGTCAAAACTTCTCGAACTCGATGAACTGCTATTCATTTGTTTTGATGAATTTGTCATTCTTGAGGAACTAATTTGGCTTTGCTCGATAAATCCATCATTCACATCGATCATAGTACTTCCTCCAAACCTCACTACAAGAAGAAAAAAAATGGCATTAGTGTTACCCTAATTGTGATAATATTTAGATGTTGTCCCTAATAAGTGACAACATTTTGTAAGCTCATTTTGTTGTAATTTAAACTTATTTTTTAGTCACTAGTGACAAGGATACTAACAACATTTTGGGCCTAACCATGTGAAAATATGAGTTATTTTTCAAAAGATTATTTCTTGTAGTGTATATTACCTGGGTCATCGATAGATATTTTCGAGCTTGAGCAATCAGAGAAGAGATAAGATCCAGAAGTCTCTGCTTTGATATTATTGACATCGCGTAGTTCCAATCCATTATATTCTCTCAAAAGAAAAGAATTCTTCGGAGCATTAGGAGAAGTCGTCCACGGAATGGTCTTTAGACTAGGTGGCCACGACGGGCCCCGTGTATCTAATGCAGCCAACTTCGATTCATCACAATTTTTCACATCGAAAAGATACTCTTCGTAGTCGATGCAAGAAGTTGAGGAGAGTGATGTTGCGTTCGCTATGGGTGCGTCTAGATTTTTCGTCCAATAATCGGTTTTCGTGTTGAAGTAGAATTGTGTGCTCGGGTCGAATTCTTGCATTATCGAGCCCGCGGAAACGAGTTTTCCTGTCGTTGCGTCGAATTTTAGTCCTCCTTCGGCTCCCTCAACGGATTCGAGCACACTTTGTATTTTCTTCAATGACCGGTTAACCTTGTTTATCTTGCGCGAAGGCCATCTATATATACCATGTCGTCGGCATATTCTTTTAAGCGTCGTTGGGCAAACTACAAAAATGAGAAACACAATATTTAAATGTCACTAAAAAAAATGATTTCATTAAAATTCCTCGACATGTTTAAAAAAGAATTTTCTTAATTTATAACAAAGACATGTGCAAATTTTACTACAACAATTGGACAAGACAAACTCTAAAAAGGAAAAATAAAAAATAAAAATAAAAAAAAAAAGACTTGTAGTACAACCAGTAAGCAAAGTAAGCAAAAGGAACATAAAATGAGAAGTTCTAGTCATTTGAGTCATGCACTTAGGCCAATTTACGGGTTGAGATAACATATTTTTTTAAGGGAAAGGCAAGACAATGTTATTTAAATAACCTATAATATACATTAATACCCTATTCCTAATAAAAGCAATATAGAGATATTAAAATATTCAAAAATATTTGAAAGATAAATATGTCTCACCACCAAGGTTTTTTGCAGCATCCTTAAGACTTCCCGAGAAATATTGTTGAAGGACACGTAAACTGATGTTCTTCTCATATGCGCTTTTCTTCTTCTCCATTTGTCTACTCGACCCACCCATTTTCTACATGAATTATAATAATAATCATTATTTAACGGTAAATAATCAAATTGATTAGATAACAAGAATAAACAAGTATAATAAATGGACTTGTAATCTTAACAGACTACTCTCAAACACACACACACACACATATATATATATGTATCATTAAGATTTATTATATTTAAAAAATTCGACAAGTACCTGGAAAGAAACACGATCAACTTTCTCATGGAGGGTATTATCATCTATTTCTGCAGTCTTTAAAACAAGCAAATCATCATTTACAACCATCGACTCTTCAAAGCCCCTTTTCCCAAATAACTCTTCATCCGAAACTGTTCTCAAACTTCTACTAATTCTTTGCAAAGTACTCGAGAGATTATCAAGCAATAATTGTTGTTCTGCACCCCCTCCAATATTCACGGGCAGAAAAAATTCCAATATATAGTCATCTTCGCCCGTAAAAGTACTCCTAAGCCTAATCGCAACTGCAGCATTTAATCCGTATTTTCGAGCATGATGAACGAGCGGATACTCGCTTATATGATACTCCTTCACATCATGGTAGAAAAATGGTTGATTCGATTGAAGTGCTTTTCCGACCACACCTTGCCCTTGTTCAAGAAAATGCCCTCCGCATGCACGTATAAATCCTTGCATGTATGTATCGCTCGAATAACACGCGGATTCTTCTACACACAATACGGGTTTTTCGTTCGGATTTAAAATAATTTTTTTTATTGAATTCGTTCGTATGGTTTGGTTTCCTGAATATTCTTCGGTGTAGCTACAAGGGATCCATGTTAGAGCGAGTGGGAGTCGATGCGCATGGCAAATTGCACGTAAAACATCGGTTATTTCTGCTAGAGCTGCGTTTTGATTCTTCGAGAGACTCTGCATAATGGGAATTTAATAATCTGAGTTAGAAAAACGATTCTAGTTGATGATTGAGAAATTGAGATAATTGAGTATAAACCTTGATTAAGACCTGGGGGTAAATTCGAGGAGTCGCAATGCTACTTAAATCCACAGCCTGAAAAAAATTATCAATAACAAAGTCTTAAAAAAAAGTTTATGTGAAAATTAAATCGAATCCTTCGATCTACAACAAAGAAAGTTGTAGGAGCATCATCCTATAGAATTTAATTTCTATAAATAGGAAAGAGAACAGTTGAGAAAATAATAATAAGTTGAAGAAACAATTTATTCAGTTTGCTAACATGCAAAATGAAGCAAAACTAACTATCTTTTTTTTTCAAGCCTCCAAGCACTAGGAATCTAATTTCTCGAAACAGGGAATAAAAAATAATCCACAATGCTTTAAAAAAAAGTAAGAGACAAACCTGCAGTGCACGGGAAATATTATCGATCTCCAAATCGAAATCGAGTTTCTCCTTAGTGGTGACAATCTCCAAAACAGCACAACACGACTTGTCACCATCAATCGAATCATCCTCCTCAAACACCGGCAAAGCAATCGAGCCACGCACTTCATGATCAATTGCATGTTGCACCCTAAGGTACTCCGCTTTACTATAGTACATCACATTCGAAGTCCATTCGGGGACCTTGGAGATGAAAACCCTCCCAGGAAGACCCGGAAAACAACCGGGCCCCACTTCCGTTGCGAACGTGAACATTCTAGAAACTTCTCTGTACCCAGAGAGCGTCTGGTCCAATAGAAACGGCTGCTCGCAAGTGCTCAAAACGTATTGATCGCCGTTCTTCATCGGGACCCACAATTGGGCCAAGATACCCCCACCGGACAACTCCTTGAAGAGATGCAGTGCCCTAAGCATTTTCTCGTTGAGCGATACCTTGAGGATATTCCTAGGAATATTCTCCACATCGTTTTGACTTTCCATAAAATATTGTTCGATAGATTGAAGAGAATACGGGGAAAACATTTGGTCTTGGGACTCGAAATTCATGAGGTCCAAGACGTTACCAAAGGAATCGTCGTAGTTCGACCCTCTCACGTAGTCGTCCATCAAATTGGCAACCATACTATCCATTTTATTTGAAATCGAAAACCGGATTTATTAATTTTGACTCGAGTATGAATATAGGCTCGATTTTACGGACAAATGGCTAGGCAACATGTTCACTTCTTATATACATGACCTTATCCACATTTTTTTTTTCCGAATCGAAAGATTAATCGATCCACTTGCATTCAATGAATACACGCACATACGACGTGTTTCTATTTTCGTACAAGGGATTGTTCGCAAAACGACGGCAAACGCCTTCGAACTTACCTCGAGAGCGAGCCTATAGAGAGATGTTGCAGCTTTCTTTTTTAAATTGATTGAGAAGAAGACAATAACCTTAATCAAAGAGGGCCTCTCCTGCAAAATTCCAACACTCCACCAGTTAATCCACGAATCAAATCAATAGCAAATAATATAAGAATTAAAAAATAATAATAATAAAATAGAATTCAAAAACGAAAACAAATTTGAGATTACTACTCTCTGTTGCCTAAATTAAAATTATATTCCCTTAGTCATATACTTCCAATTTCATTCTTTTTCTCATCTTCCCACACCATATATATATATATATATATATATTATATATATTATATATATATCAAGAAAATTCGAATTATATATTTCTTAGTCAAATGCATAATTTATTTTTGCAAAAAAAAAAAAAAAAAAAAAAAACCCCACAAACAAGAAACATAATTCATGACAAACGAACTTATATCAGAAACAAATACAAGAAAAAAAAATGAATGAATAAAAAAGGAACAAACAATATAAAGAGGAGAGAGAGAGAGAGAGAGAGGTTCTAGAGAGAGAAAGTAATGGACGGAAGGAAGAACAGGAGACAAAAATTTACCTGCAAATTTTTTTATTTTTATTTTATTGTCAGCAAAGCTATGTAGGTATAATTAGTGAGTTTGTCGGAAGTGTAATACGTCATGCGTTTCGCGAAAAACTACAAATTTTCACAGTGGGAGGTCGGTGAATCGGTAAGAAGAGACCAGAGTGCATGTATTTCTGAACTTAGAGAGAGAAAGAGAGGAGAGAGAGAGAGAGGAGAGAGAGAGAGAAAGAGGAGAGAGAGTAGAGAGAGAGAGGAGAGAGGAGAGAAGTGTACATGTGAATCTGCGTCTGCTTTGAAATCTAAACCAGTTTTTCTATTGAAGAAAGGTGTGTGTGATGATGTATTTCATAAGGGAATTGATCTTCACATTAAAATAATTATATTGACACTACTTGCTAATAAATTATGGATTACTAAAAAGAAACAATTTAAAAAAAGGATTTCTACTTTGATAATGATTCTTGAATTGATATATATATATATATATATATATATATATATATATATAGAAATGATTTCATAATAACATATTTTTAAGTTTACCAGGCGGTGGAGATTGGATGGATTTGTTCGAAAATTAGCATTTTCGGAAAAAAATTCTATTTTATTCAGAAAACAAAAATTAATTTTGAAAAAGCTTGAAGAAATCGAAAATGGAAATTTTTCAGAAATTGAAATGAAAAAACTATTCAGAAAATAGATAAATTAATTCCAGTAATGTTTAATTTGACAAAATTGAGAATGGAAAATTTCAGAGATTGAAATGAAAAAAAAATGCGCAAATATTAAAAGTACGAAGCTAATACTTATAAATCTAGCTAAGATAATAAATATATTAATTTTTTTTATAATAAATGTGTTTCAGAATGAATTATATGTCTTTAGTTTCTAGTTTATATTATTTTCAGTCAATAAAATTCAAAATTCATATTATTTAAAAGTTTTTTTAAAAAACATAAATTCAATTGCTTATTTTTTATTTATCAAAAAACAAGAAAACAATTAGATCCTTCGTTACAATGTACTTTTTTTTTTTTTAATTTAGTCAATTTTATTGAAAAAGTCCACCACCTCTAAAATCATACATTTTAAAAAAAAAAATTAAAAAATATTGAAAATGGTACGGATAGGCGATAGCATCCCAATATTTTAATAAGTCACCACCACCAAAAAGAAATTTCCCATCAACACCAAAATCTCATTATTCAATATTCATCTTGCAAAAGAGAGTAAGAGATTGTTGAAATAGGCCGTTTTCTAAACTTATAAGCTGTTAAAAATAGTTTATAAGATGTTAAGAAATTTATAAGTTCTTTTGTATGTGTTCGATACTGTTTTTTAAAAAATCTTAATATTTTAGAGGATAAGTTACTGGAGAGCAAATAAGATTTTGTTTAAAAATATTTTTACCTCAACTTTTTATTTAACATCATGTGATACGTAAAAATAGCTTATAAGATCATTATTCAAGCACTTTAAAATTTAATTCTAAAAATAAAACATGACAACTTATCAGCTTTGAAAACGGCTTGTCTGATATAATAGCTTATAAGATATTTGGGAACCTATAATTTTTTCTTAAAGTGTTCGATACTGTTTTTAAAAAATTCTTAATATTTTAGAGCATAAGTTACTGGAGAGTAAATAAAATTTTGTTTAAAAATAATTTGACCTAAACTTTTTGTTTAACATCCTCTGATACGTAAAAATAGCTTATAAGATCATTATTCAAGCACTTTAAAATTTAATTCTAAAAATAAAACGTAACAACTTATCAACTTTTAAACCAATCAGATATAATAGTTTATCCGCTCTTTAAAATAACTTTAACCAAACGAGCCTAATAAGAACATAACTTGTGATGATAGATATTTTTTAAAGATTTTTTTGTTGATTAAATTATTATTATTATTAAAGGACAAAAGTAACCTTATTTTGATGGACTAGTTGTAATAAATTATCCTATGATGGGATATTTAGAATCATGGGCAAGTGGGGGCTTTTAAGATTCCAAGCAAATATACTATGTTATTAACACTTGCTAACTTACGCCAACCAAACTCAGAGCTGTCATTATGTCTTAAAAAAATCTCATTTAATACAATAAACTAATCACTTCGCTAATTGTATACAATAAACTAATCACTTCGCTAATTGTGTAACTAATCAGAGGAGAAGTGATGAGGTCATCTGCTACGAATACAACCATTTGCAGTAATTGGCTACGTGGAGCGTTGTTAGCCTTTTATTAAACCATTATTTTATTGAATAAAAAAATAAAAATTTCAAAGATTAACTTAAGCTAATTGAGGTTAGTCAAACTAATCTAAAATCAAATAATGAGTTGAAATTAACTCAAAGTTTTACTATTCGACGTCGTTTAGGTGTTTAATTTTGTTTTTTTTTTTTTTTTTGTTTTTTTTTTTTGTAATTTGTGAAATCGTATAATAATAAATAACATTTCATACGAAAGTCGGATTTTAATTCCATAGATCGAGTTTGGTACACCGGATTATATAAAACAATTATATTTTCTTACAAAATAAAATAAAATAAGTTTTTATCACTATCCGACTGATGGATCTTTTATTGTAACTAGTTCAAAATATTAGGTAAAAATATTTGGAAGAAAATATGATTTTTGAATAACGCAATAGTTGAATGATTTTTTTTTTTCGTAAAATATTTTCTTTTGATAAAAAAATATAATTTTTAAATATGTTGATGAAATGTATTTTTATTTTTGTACTTTATAGTTTCAAAATGATCGATGAATAAAAAAAATATTTGACATTTGGCATCCTAAAAAAATATCACTAAGATATTAAATTACATTTTTTAGCTTTAAAAATTCGTTTGGGGTACATTATGCATGATTTATTGTGTTTTAAGGATGCAAACTGCTATTAATTTATTTCAAGGATGCAAAGTGACAGAATAGTATATTTTAAGGGTGCAAAGTATGATTAAGCCATTCAATTCGGAAGTTCATGTGTTGGCAAAATAAATTGAAATTTAGCTTATTTTTATAAAATGTCGGCAAAATTCAATGAATTTAGATAAAAATAACAAAACAAGAAATCTCCAATTCCGTTTCATGTTCGAGTTAAAAACTTCTCCATATATCTTTTGAGATTAAGAGCATGTTCTACTAAGATTATTTTAAATATCTGATAAGCATTTACATTTAATAAGTTGTTTTAAAACTCGATAAATTGTTACATTTTATTTATATTAATTTTTAAAGTTATTTTCATTCATAATAAAACCTTAAATAAAAAATTGGGGTAAATGTATTTTTTTTTAAGATCTTATGTACTCTCCGACATCTTATTATTTATAAATTTAAGACCATTTAGAAAAAAAAATTATCACAGTTTTGAATCGCTTATAACCATTTAAATATCTTATAAACTATTTTTAACAGTGGATAAAATTATCCATATACCCTCTAAATATTTCAAAACAACTTATGTTAAGAGAGAGAGAAAAATAAAAATCACGTTCGCGTATATTTAAAAACAAATTATGAGCTAAAAAAAAACCTTTTAATCTATTTTCGAAAGTTTTAGCAAATAACACTATTACATAATTAAGTGATTATTTTAAGGTTAATTATTGGGATGTAAGCTTTGTAATTAAGACGAAACACAGTGTTAAACAAATGGGATTTGTTTCACTTTCAGCAGCAAGTTGAAACAAACCTACTTAGTGTTGAACTAACCACCAACAATATGTATTGACATTTCAAGTGATAACGATGGAGTTTTTTTGGCATAATTAAATTAATTAATTAATTAACTTATGCCTGAAAATGACTTGGGTAGAAAATAATTAATTATTTTCTTATAATAACATTTTGAAAATTTAAAGTCGTCCAATTTGCACCACCATCCATTGAATCACGCATGTACATAAAATCAACAGAAATTTATTATTTATTTAAAGAAAATTAACATCTCATAATTGGTTGTTTTATGGTTCGAAAGATACAATGCAACTAGGGGTGGAAATCCAAAATTTCGATCAGATTATATCTGAATTTGAAACCGTAATTTTTTATTTTGATGTTCGAAGTTCCGATTTCTGATTTCTTCGAATTTATTTGGAATGGAGCTGGAATGTATATAAAATTACTGGAAATTCCGATTTCTGTTTGGTTTTAGTTCTGAATATTTCTATGGTTTTTCGAAATATATAATATAATTTTATGATATATTTTGCAATTCCATATTATAACTTATGTTATATTTTATGTGAAAAATATAAATTATGAAGGGGTAAGTAAATTAAAACATTAAAAAATATTAATTGGTATCAGAAACTTTATGTTGCATCTTTCCTTATAAGAAAATCTATGTTTCAGTTTTTTGTGTTTTTCCTTATATGTGTTTTTATTTATTGCGTTTTGTCATATCTT